TACAGAAGAATCTTGATCAAAAGGAGGAAAATTGCAAAACAGAATAAAAAATTCTCATGAATCCAGACTTTCTGGAGCCACTGAGGCTGGATGAACCCCTGAAACTATTGCCCTGAGATAACATCTAACTTTAGATCAAAAATAATTCCTGAACCATAGTTGCAGGGGACATCATGCTCAATTGGCATAACATACTACACAAAACATTGTTTCACCTCCTACTTTGGCAAGTAGTGACTGGGATCTTAAAAGCTTGCAAGCAGGCATCTAGATGCAACGGTGGGTCTCTCCTCGTCCAGAGCAAAGAAGAATGAAGGAAACCAAAGATTCATGAAAACAATTAGTCCTCGCAACTGGTACACCATGCGATCCTTAGCCTATACGACTATGAGACCAGAAGAACTAGATGGTGCCCATCTACTACTGTCAACCACTCGGAGGGGAATCTATGTAGTAGATCCTGGATAGAGAGGGAAAGCAATGTGCAACAAAACTCAAAATCATTTGGAAAAAAAAAGGGGGAGGGGCCAGGTTTGCTGGTCTGATAGAGCCTGGTGGAACCACTGAGACTATGGTCCCTAGCTGCCCTTCAGGTCTGGAATTGAACCCATACCTGTGGCTTCCAGACAAACAAAAGACAGGCATATATATGAGCTGAACATGTATCTGAGGTAGATACACTTCTTGGAGAGAAAATCATGGGAGAAAGAAGGGCTGTTTATGCACAGGGAGACGGTTCAGGGGGCAGGAGTGCATGGAGGAATGGACACAGGGAAGAGGTAACTATCGGGAGGAAGTGGGAGCTGTTGCATTGGGGTAAATTGTAGTCAATGTCATGAGATTAACGTGTGTGCGAACTGCTGTATTGAAGTGGATTTGCTTTGTAAACTTTCACCAAAATCACAATAATAATAATAATAATCCCTGAAATCTTCTTTGTAACAAACAATAACCAATATCAAACCAAACCAACTGCCATCAATTTGATTCCTATTCATAAGGACTCTTTAGGCTTTAGAACTGCCCCAAAGGGTTTTAAACGTTGTAAATCTTATTGGAAGCAGACTAGTCATATTTCTCCCACAGAGCAGCTGATAGGTTCGAACTACTGACCTGCAGCAGCCCATATGCTTTAATCACTGCTCCTTTAAACCAAACAATAGGTTAACTTCAGTAGTAAAGAATGTTTGCCTTGTGCATTAAGCTTTTTTCAAGTTGACAACAGCAACTTGTAAGGTCAGATAATAAGCTCAGGGGCGAGAGTTTATGTTAACAAGGGAAGAATGATTAGGAAAAATGAGACAGGCAGGGCTGGCTGAATCAAGGAGCCTCTGATTCAGTGTTCTTGCTTCTGGAAACAGAGAATTACTTGTGATTAACAAACCAGACCCTTAGGCAAGATAAGGTTACATTTCAAAAGCCCCACAAGATGCTGCTGTATGGAAGATGAATTTGCTCTGTAAATTTTCACCCAAATCAAAGTAATTAAAAAAAAAAAAAAAAAGCCCCACAAGCTTGACCACACAGTTGTAAAATGCTGATTAGCCCCCTGAGTTGTCCTTCAAGTACCTCACCAGGCACAGAGCATTTGCAGTGAAATCCAACTTGACCACCAGAGGCAGTCAAGAACAGGAATCCCTTGCCAGGATTTGAACCAAAGTCCAGAGACATTACACATGTGCAACATCACAGAGTAAATCATATCAAGCATTCCAGCAGCCTTTGAGACAGGTTCCATCTTTGTTCCAACAGCCTTGGTGGTAGAATCCATCTTGGCTACTTCCTATGTGTACACCTGATTTTCCTAACCCCACCTTTTTCTCAGAAATCCCTGCCCATTTTATGAATAAAGACAATGCCTTTTCCTCCCACCTCAAACCCTTTATATATATTAAAAAAAAAAAAAAA